TCTGGACGAAACATTTCCTGATCGATGGATCGGTGGCTGTGGATGGATCGATTGGCCAGCACGATCACCAGATCTCACACCAGCTGATTTTTTTCTCTGGGGTGTGATCAAGGATCGTGTATATGCCACAAAGCCTCGAAGTCTTCAAGAACTAAAAGATGCTGTAATCGATCAAATTTAAAGTTTACCACGGAAATTCTGTCAAAGGGCTTACCAATCAGCACGTGAGAGACTTCAGCTCTGCAGAGATTCGAATGGCGAACACATTGAACAATATCTGTAAAGAACTTCAAAATGAGAACACTCAATAAATCCATACATGTCTATGAGTTTTTTCGTATTTTTGAACTTTTAATAAAGGTCCCATAGAAACTCATAAATCTCAATTGTGATGATCAGTATGTATTTGTATGCTCTTGAATTGATCTCGACGCTTAAGGTTTCTTAGTCTACGCAATCTTTCACATCTTATACATAGTATATGTGGTAAAAATATCAGACCGAAGCGACCATCTGATAGATGGAAACGGAAGTGAATACCATCTTACCTTACTTTTGGGACACCCTGTATATACATAAAAGATTAATTAATATCATATTTTGCTCGAATTTCTTTGATATGATCATGAACTAATTGTGCAATAGAATTCGGAAGATTATGATGAGTTTTTAAATGAATTTTTAAACGATAATGTAAAATTGATTTCATTTGACATGGTACTCGAATGACTCGTTTTGAATTATAATCAAATAAATTCATTGTACCATCATTAAATGGACGTGGAATTTTATGAAAATTATCAATAACATCATCATTTTCATTGAATAATTTTGTTGTGCTTGAATCTTTTCCATTTTTAACTTCGTGAGCTAAATATCGAGCATAAAAGGGTTTTAATCCATGTTGAGTTATAAAATGATAATATAATCCAACTGAACGTTGATTTAATTTTGAACAAATCTTAAGTGAATGTGCTGTTTTAGTAAGACCAAAAGCACCATTAAATGTTAATGGACATTTATCATAAATAGTTTTCATTTCTATATGTTCGTCATTCTCATCTTAAAAATGAATATTTGGATAAAAATTAATTAACTATTTTACTACTTTTGTATGACTAAAAATGAAGAGAAAAAATACAAAAAGTATATTTTTAAATCTAGAAAAAAAAACTTCCTCAAATGATGTTTGATTGATTGTAGACATTGAATATTCATTATCTGAAATAAATTGTATAAAATTTCAAAAAGAAAAAATAACATGATTTTATTATACCATTTGTTAATGATGATTCAACTTTGATAATTGTTTCGTCTAGAGAAAAAACAAATGAATTCAATAAAAATCAAATCACATATTTAAAAACCTAAATGATCAGATGTAATTGCATGATTTATTTTATCAGAAAATATTTTCATTTGATCAATTGAAGATATTTTAGAATTAATTAATTAATTTCCTTGTTCAATTAATTTATTTTCATAATCAATT